CATCCCTCTCTTTGCTTCCCTGATTTTCAAGCTCAGCTGACCATTTAATCTCAGTTCCTCAAATAGGAGCTCCTTAGATTCAATCTTCAAAGCTTTTTTCCAWCGGCCTACCTCCACAAAWTCTCCCATCTCAGTTCCTCACCCTCTCACCCTCTCAGCAACCCTCTCTTTGCTTCACCCTCTCACCATCTCAGACAATGACAACAGACGAAAACACAGTTCCTCACCCTCTCACCCTCTCACCAGCTCAGACAATGGCAACAGATGAAAACCCAGTTCCTCACCCTCTCACCAGCTCAGACAATAAATTCATGATTACTCTTGGTAAGTGGTTAACTAACCATTAGCTGTAAATGATTAGCTAACACCGGTKTTTTTCCGATTGATATACTTGGAATGAATGTCAAAAACTCTAAAGAAGGAAGTTATTCAACTATTTAAAGGATCTTGTACATGTCTTATATTTAGAAAGAGAACTCAAGGTATATCTAGGAAGCCTTGGTGAAGTTTAGCAATGCTTTGGTGGGACATTTCTGGTGTTCCAAGGAGCAAAATGAGTTATATGATATGGTGTGTAATCATAGCTTATGCTTTCACATTTAGTTGAGTTCTGGTTTCCTTTAATTTTATTTCTTTTTTTAATTTCTTGGAATTCATTTACTGTTTTTTCTCCCTTCCAAAGACTCGCTTAACAATATGTGAGGGACACGATGGGACGGAGACATCAAATGGAGATGTATTGATCTTTCCTGACATGATCAGATACAGGTCAGATTAAACCTATTCATTTCCACTTTGTAAGAAACATCAGAAACACTCTTTATTTCAGATTATGATCAAAGTTGGGCTTGTAGGCGGTTGACACATTTTGATGTTGATACATTTGTTGAGGAAGTGCTTGTGAAGGACAATGAATGGCAGCCTGGAACCCCTGAAGCACTAACAGGATCATATGTCTTTGTTTGTTGTCATGGGAGCCGGGATCGCCGATGTGGTGTTTGTGGACCTGCTCTAGTTACAAGATTTAAAGAAGAGATAGATGCACGGGGCCTTCAAGGTCAAGTTTCTGTTAGTCCTTGTTCACACATTGGTGGGCATAAATATGCAGGAAACGTAATCATTTTTGGTCCAAACATGAATGGCAAAGTGATGGGTCATTGGTAAGAGGGTGTTGTTTGTTGATCCATATAGCTCTCAACCTGTTTGTTGCATATACTTTTAAGTTCTCTTTTACCTGTTACAAAAAGTAAAATAAAAGATATTCTTTTTACATACTATCTGCTGTTAAATGTATTTGGAACTGAGTCGTCTTTTATTTCCTCTGAAGGTATGGGTATGTCACCCCAGATGATGTAACTGTTTTGCTAGAGCACCATATTGGGAAAAGGGATATTGTTGATCAACTATGGAGGTAGCATCTATTTTCTCCAAAAATACATATTTCTTTTTTTTTCTTTTATTTCTCTAGTGCTTCTTTTCTGTTTAACTGAACTAAGCCTTATTCCAATTATATAGGGTTGAGCATAGTTGTCAAGGCAACGCCTAGGCGACAAGGCGCCCTTTGAGTGTCGCCTCGCCTAATCGCCTAGCAGTTTTGTACTATGTATTGTAAAATACTTTTTTGTTCTTTATTTTTTGACATTATAATTATAAAATAGTCACTATTAAACTAAAATACTCATTTTGTGTGTTTATATACTAATTTGTTTTTATTATTTTCTTATTTGTTAGGATTTAATCAATAGAAACATTGCTAAATGCTGTATTGAACCCTCAAAGACTTTAAAACCTGAACCAAGAACTTAAAATTTTGTCTAATCAACACATTTTCTACTACTACTACTAGCAGTTTCCTTCTTTTTTTTTTCTTCTCATGAATATGTTGATTTTCTATACTTTAACATGAACTCCATACTTTTCTTATGAAAATTATGAATAATTATTAAGGAAATATGGCTATGGTACCTAGGGAACTACCCTAGGATCTATATTTTTCTATATAAAAAAGTCCATCGCCTAGGTGCCTAGGCACCCCCCTGATGCCCAGCCTCGCCTTGGCGCCTTGAAAACTATGGGGTTGAGTACATGTATCCTATTCCACCATTTCACTTTGTTCAGTGCCATATCCATTGTTATGGGGCCTTAAATCATTTCTCATTACTCGGAACACGTCCTTTTTTGTCTGCCCAAAGCCCTTCTAGACCCTTCAATTTTCAACAAATCAATTCTCAATGCTAGTGTAAATGGTCTTGCCTGCACATGACTGAACCATATTAATCCACTTTCCTAAATTTTATCACCTATTGGAGTTAGTCCTAGGTTCCTTTAAATAAGTTCATTTCTACTTTCCCACTTATCCATCTTAGCATTTGTATTGTTGTATTGCTCAATTTTTTACATGTTTCTCACTGCTCAACCCATCTCCATAAAACATTTCTGGCCTTATGACTGTTTTTATGAAAATTTCTTTTTAGCTTAAGTAATCTTCTATTATGACATAGGATTCCGTATGCAACCTTCCATTTTGACTATCTTGATTTAGTTCCATTGGCTACAAGCTCCTTAGTCTCTCCCCTGTTGTGGATCATTGGACCAAGGTGCCAGTCTGCCAGAAGAGGTCATATTGAAATATCTCTTGGTGTCTGGTGATTTGTGTACCCTTATATCTATTCTTATTATTGTTAAAATTACATTGCCTACATTCCTTTTTAAAACGGAATGGCATATATTCCTTTTTAATCTAACTTATTTTAAAGCCTTTTGTTTCTAAGGCATTTGTCCATAAATCCAACTTTGTGTTTAATCTCCCTCTAATTTCATCAATTAATACTATGTCATCAGCAAACAACATACACCAGGGATTGTCCTTTTCAATATGTCTAGTCAATTTATCCATAACTAGTGCAAATGAATAAAGGCCGAATGCTGAGACTTGGTGAAGTCTATTGTAACTGGAATCTCTAGTTTCTCTTCCATGGGTGTTATAACATTGGTTGTTTTACCCTCATACATGTCCTAGTCAGGTCCATATACCCATTTTATACTCTTTTCTACCCCAAAAACATGAACTCTAAGGCATTGGTTGTCTTTCTAAGAACTCTATCATGTGCTTTCTCTAAATCAACGACTACCATATGAAGATCTCTCTTGTTCTCTGTGAACTTTTCTATGAGTTGTATCGATAACAAGGTTGTTCATGGTTGATTTCTCTGGCATAAAGCTAGATTGTTTCTAATATACTTGTTTCATGTCTTAGACTCTGCTCAATTATTCTCCCAGGGTTTCATATTATGATCATTAGTTTAATCCCACAATAACTATTGCAACTTTGTATATCACATTTGTTTTTAAACAGATGCCATGGTGCTCTTTCTCCATTCATCTGGCACTTTCTCTTTTTTCATTGTCTTATTGAATAGTTTAGTTAGGCATATACCTTTTCAGACTTTTCCATGGTTATTCTAGTCAAGAAGCAAACCTATTACTCAAACCAGAGTTGATACAAAGTTATATATACACTTCGATCTTCTTACTTTTTTTTGCCTTATTCTCCATTGTAATAAGAGCTCATAATTGCACTCCAGATCTGCCACCCACAAACAGTTCCCATGTCCCTGCTCACAGAACACCACTGCCATGTATTAGGAATATCTCCTCGTGAATGATGAGGGAACAGCTTGTGGGTAGCAGATCTGAGCCCTCATAATTGACTGGTCTATTCTTTATCGTCTCCTCATTATAGATCTAACTGTGGTGGACGTAAGTACCATTTTGTTAGGATGTTGCAGGCCATATCTCTTATCAGTTTATTTGAGATAATGCAATTGAAAATTAATTTAAACCTGCATACAATTAATTTATCTAGGCATACATCACTTTGTAATGGAATGTTTGAATGACCTTCAGGGGTCAGATGGGCTTATCAGAAGAGGAGCAGAAGAGAGCTCAAGAGCTAAGGCTTCAACTAGACAATGAAACCAACGGAGAGAAAACCACAAAAGATCGTATAGAGACCAACAGGGCAGATTCCTCTGGAAGTCAAACTCAAATTGAGGTCAGAGGTTGTTGCCAGGGCAGCCAGAACTTCGTATGTTGCCAGAATCCTTCGTTCTCAGAAAAGATTGATGAAAATAGTCATGTTGTGAATGAGGGGGAGGTGAAGGCAGCAGTAGAGAAGAAGAAAAGCAATGACAAACAGGTTTCAAAGGTTGGTTCTAAAGGAGGTTGCACACGCAAAGCCTGTGCAATGCCAACGTGGTTTGAGAGTTGGGAGCGTGAGGATACATATGCTGCACTGGCTGTTGTTTGGGCTGTTGTCTCAATTGCCATTGCTTATAGCTGCTACAAACAGTTGAGGTGATAACATCTTTGCTTTTAGTCTTTTCCTAATTTCTGTAGTGTGCAAGTAATGCCACTTCATTTTCTGGATACATAGGAGATTATATATTTGAGTCAGTGTTTTCAGTATCTGCATTCCTAGTTCCTACTGCATCTATGGAAATTACTTGGTATTTAAAAATAAAAAATGAACAACAATTTTACCACTTCGAGCTTAATATTTTAAAGCCTTAACAAACCCTAGCTATAATTAGTTAATTTCTCCAACCATGCTTTTGACTCTTCACTGCACTTAAGAACACCCATAGCATTTTAGTTTTTCTTCAGAAATTAACCTAAATGGCAGTGGTTTTTATCTAATGTCAGGCTATGAGAAATTGAGAAGAATTACTTTGTTCCTGTTACCGAGTACCATAGCCATAGGACCACAGCTTTTTCCTACAGAATCATACAACTTGGTTATTGCTTCATAGTTATTCTCTTTTACCTTTTGGTTTTGCATTTTATATATCAATCAGCTTGTTGATGTGCCATGTAAAAGCTTGGATTAGCACAACCAGGTCTTATTTTGACCTTTGTCTCAGTTTGGATACAAATATGTACAGTGCAAAAACATTGTATTTGCACAGTACATATTTGTATTTGTACTCTTTCCAAACTGAGCCCTACGTGAACAACAATTTCTTCAAGAACTAGGTGCTAATTTGGAGTAAGAATGTTTTACATTAAATGTGTTTTCAGTTGCTTTCAAGCTCTAAAGCGCTCACGGCTCATCTGTGGCCTCGGAAATCCACTGTGGTGATGGTCGAGGTGGTGGAAATGGAGGGTTTTGAAAGCATTCAATCAGCCAACTTACAAAGACCGGACGAAACCCTAGGGTGGTCCCAACTCCGAAGTTTCGTTATTCAATTCACCCATTGGATGCAATCATGGCCAAGGTTTGATTACAATTTTTGTTAAAATCCCTCAGAAATATTAGTTGAAAAGGAAAATAAAATTAGACAATAAAAAAAATAGAAACAAAAGACGATTTGATAATGAGGCTTTCCGGGGATTTTAATGGAGAGAGTTGAGAATCGAAACTACAAAATATGAGCCATTCTACGAAATATTAACGGAGATCGGATTAACGTCATAGGTGCCAGTTGGGGCTCATCACCATCTGCTCATTGAAAAAGTTGTGATTCCTCCCCTTGCAGCAGCACAAGCCTTTGATCACCAGTCAACAGATAAACAATAAAGAGAAAAAAAAAATGTTGGCTTCCCTTGTGGCCTCCTGGGACCGATTGTTATTAGAATATGCGATTACAATTTTAGGTAGAGGACCTAACCTGCCTAATGGCGATTTACCATGTCCAAATTCTGCTGCTTCATGTATTGCCCTAGTTTAGTCCCGTATTATCATTACTGGTAGAGGCACAATACGAGACATTCACATTATTACTTCATTTTGACAAGTGTATTACATGATTATTGGTATGCATTTAAAAAAAGAATTACAGTTTTCATTTTCTTAACGTGAAACGGAGGGGATGTCAGTGCCTCTATTCCCAGCCAGAACACTCGTTTTAACCAGAGAAATTAAAGAGAACCTTCTCCAAGTTATAAATTTACAATACAGGAGTGAAAGGTGAAATATTGTCACCAGTTTCACAAAACCAAATTTATTTTCAAAACTTCCAACCAAAAAGATGTATGATGCATCATTGTAATCAGGGTGCCTTCTGTTCGATATAATTCATCATATTCTAGTCACAATCCTGGCTGCTGAACTTTCACTGAGATGTTTGCAAGCACAGAATGGCCCCTAAATGACAAAAACAATAGCCCTGCCTCGTAACAGTTAGTAGTTGATGATCACTCAAAGCTTTGAGGTGTATTTGCAGTAATATCCTCACCATTCAGCAAGTATTGGCAGGACAAATTAGATACTGCAGCTCGTATTATATTAACTACAAGTTACAGACTTACAGTTCCTATTCAATTTCTGGCCAGGAGAAGGTTGCAAATTGGCTCAACCTAAGGGTGATACGTCTTGTTACATAAAACAAAGTTGGTCATTCCTACAAAAGCCTGCATCAAGATGGTGCAAGCCGTTGCTATAATAATCCAATTTCAAATGCCCACGGATTGAGAGGGCTCAGTCTATAGTCACCAAATGATTAAGCTCAAGAGCTTACAGATCATTATCCATTCTGATTCCGATTGCTGTTTAAGTTCAAATCACTTGGCAAACGATTGATCCCATTCCGATCTAGTTTGTGGAGCTCAGTCTCTATAGTAAGAGCAATCTTAGTTCCTTCAGGATCTGGCTCTGGCAGATCAACATGGAAAGATCCCATCTTGATTGGTGCAACAGGTTGCAAATTCATGGCTTGTTGATTAATGTAGTTGTACAGTTGTTGATGAAAAACATGGTCTAGGGAAAAACAATCATCAGCTCCGTCAGCAGAATGCCGGGATGAACCAGAACCTTCTCTTCTGCAGAAATGTGGGAGGGATGCATAGTCCATTATCTGCATACAAGATGCGGGCCAACAATATCAAAGATTCTGTTTTTGTATTCTTTCTGGGATAGGCAACCCAATAACATCAAAGCTTCTTTTTATTTATACATAATACACGTAAATTTTGGGGTGAAAGATATGGCTGAGGCAAAGGCCATCTAAAGGAAAGACCAACTCTTTCAACTATATGCTTTCACTAGAGTAGTTAACATTTTCCCCAAAGAAAGTAATTAAACTGCTGACATTTCTGGCCATAAAACCTAGCCACAAACTACACAGTTCCTTCTATCAAAAAAAAAAAGAAAAAAAAAAAAAACTACACAGCTCCTTCACAAGTTTTCCATGGAAAAAATCTAATAAAAAATCCCATCATTTAAAATTAGCAATTTTACTGCTTGGAAATGGAGATTTTGGTCATAACAACTATTTTATAACAATCAATATGCAATAACAAGAGTTTAAAGTGAAGAGAATGGAGATATCAGAATAATAACTTATGTAAAACCAAACATTAAGCCTTGGCGTCAAGGTAAGTGCAATTGTGCAAGTTCATTTTAAAGACTAGCCCTGAGCCACAAGCTATCAATGCAGAGATTGGACATGTAGAAATATGATACCCCTGTTAGGGAAAACACAGAGAAGTTTATAAATCAATTTTACCTTAAGCTTTTCAGAGAGAGAGAAGAGCACAAAGAAGGGGTTAACTGGAAATTAAAAGTTCAAGAGTCGACCAGAAAGGGGGTCTAACTCTCACTAAARATGGTATGAGGCCAAAACGGGCTCCAGAGATGCTTGAGTTGCACTCCCAATAGTTTGTTTTGAAGTATATTCTAGTTGAGGACTGGTTTTGGAAGGAGCTTTGCTCTATCATGTGGGATTGGTTGTTGCTACAGTGTTTTTCTTTCTTCTTGATGATTCTTTATCACCTGCTATTAGGTTTAAGCAAAAAAAAAAGTCTGTTCCCAGACTTTTCAGAAAGGAGTTTCAAGATGATATTTTAAGGATATGAAAAAGAAAATTACATCTTGTGTAAAATTGTTTGTGGAGAAACAAGTCTGTCTCCAGTACTAGAACCACATCAAGGCATCAAGTCCATGTCCTACAAGAAGAGGTTTTAGAGTGTGTTGTTTGGAAATGCCATTACTTTAATTGGTTAGATTGGAGAGACATATATCGTACGCATAAACACTCCTAGAAAGCCTAGAGGTTTTAAACTTGGCCATTGGCATAGGATATATTATAAATTCTTCGAATAAAAATGGGTAAAAGTAGAACTTGTATATTGACAGACAGAAATTCTCTTAAGTATACATTTCTGTAGACTCATAGATTTGGAAATTAGAACTGGTGTGTACTTCAGAATCAGGAGTGTTGTACAATCACCTCATACTACAATACATGGGACATATTCTAGAATGACCTGTAAGGCCAGCAATGTTGCGCAATTGAAAATGACAATCATAAATTAAGTACAGAAAAAAATGAGGATTTTGAGATTAACTAATGGTATCACTAGGAAAGTCCAAACGCAGTACGATAACAAAGAGAATGGAAGCATAAGTAAGGAGTTACTTGGTGCAAGTTGAAGTATAAGGCAAACAACAACAAGAAACCAAATGAAACATGAGCCAATTGGAGGGCTACCCTTACTACCCCTTGGAAGGCTATACATGGTATTCTCCCTCGCTTCCTCAGATTCATCAGGTATGATGCTTGTTCTAGTAATGCTATTCTGTTCTGGGAGGATATTTGGGTGGATACTCAACCCCTCAAAGATTGTTTCCACTCGCTCTATTCCATTTCCCTTCACAAACATGAGCCAATTGCAACTTTTCTCCCGAGCCTGTTAAACCCCTTATCTTTAAACTGGGACTTTGGATTTCGTAAAGGGTTAAGGGATGGTGAGTC